GCGCCGATCGCCGACCGCTCAAGAAGTGGTCCTACAATGAGGCCGACGAACGCTGCTATCGGTATATCGACTACTGTTCCGATCGGAAACTCAACTCCTTTGACACACTCCAGGCCTGTCTGTCCTCCTGTTGGCGCGCGACTCAGTAGTGGCCCTACAATACCCCTGAGCTTCAGTCACAGGGGCTGTGCTTTTAGCTTATTTACTAATTAATTAGATTATAGTTTTAATATAAATGTTAGTTATGCAAAAGTTATCAATTTCAATTGTTTTGCTTGCATATTATCTAGTTTAGTCTAGACACTAATTGTAGTTACCATGAGCACATTGCTATCAGTATTAACAAGATATGATAATCGATAATATAACATATAAAATAAAATTTTAATTTGATTTTAATTATTTTATTTGAATTTTAACTATACTTCATATTAGGAGATCCCTATGTGCGATTTATGTGCATTTTTACTATGTAAACTTGCATGGGTTTACATTGAATCATAGGTTTTAAGGCATCTCCTACTTTATATCATTAAAAATAAGTGTTAATCTAAAACACAGAGTGAGGTATTTATTTTATGTATAGTTTTGGGCATTGATTTATAAATTAAAAGTACCATGATCATTTGTACAATTTTTAAAATCAATGTCATTAAGGCTGGAGAAGTAGCGCTTATCATCGCATCGGAGGGGACCCGACATCTTAGGCCTTATAGTGCTGTTCACGTAAACCCATTGCAGACCACAGACACAGTTCACGTGATTTCCTACACAAACAATAAAACAGTATTTTTTAAATTAATAATAAAATTAAAATCAAAACATAATTTAATTTTTTAATTTTTAGATAAACATATATTGAATTAAAACTACAATTACTTTACCTTTAATAATAATCTTTGAGGGCTCGTAGCTTAACATATGGGCGAATGTATTGGCCGTTAATTGCGTTAAATTGTTGAAAGACAGGTCTAGAGTGACGGGTCGGTTGAGTCCGGCAAAGGCCTGGTCACCGATTTGGGCGATTTGGTTCAGTTTGACGTAAATTCTTATGGGATTGTATTGCGAGCCGTTTACTGATTGCAGTGTAAATGAATTGTCCGCCAGTTTTGTTAATAAATTGTCGCTTAAATCCAACCAATTTAACCCATAAAGTGGTTTAAATGCATTTTTACCAAGGGTCTTCAGTCGGTTTCTGTCCAGAAGCACCATGGTCAATAGGTGCTGGTTAGACCCGAACGCATTATCTTTTATCTCCTCTAACTTATTATATTTAATTAAACAATTTATTTAATTATGAGTTAAGATAAGTATTTCTTGTTTATAAGAGTAGATAATAATTAAGTTTTATTGATTGTTGTGTTGGAAATAACCCCTAATAACTGCATTGAATTGTGTAATCAATTGATTACAACTGTATATTGTTATAAAATATGAAAAAACTAAGAAATTATAAAAACGAATCAAATTATAAACTCAACAAAAGTTTGTATTAAAAATAATGTTAAAAATTGAGGTTTCGATCGAAGAGATGATGAAAATGTGTGTCCAATACCTGATTGTCTGAGAGATCAACAGAAGTCAAGCGAACCAATTGTGAAATGGCTTTAAATAAGAATTCGCTGGACTTCAGTGAACACGAGCTGATCCGCAAAGATGTGGTCGTATTGACTGAACTGGCGAAAGCATTCTCGCCCACCATGGTCAGTGTTTTCACATTGAACACGTTCATTGTTTTGAATGACACCTAATTGATAAATTAATTGTACAATAAAATCACCATAACATAAAAGTAGTTGCAATAATAGAATATGATGATAAATAATTTAAAATAAATGATCATGTTTTACATCGTGAAAGATATAGTCGGGGAGACCAGTGATGAGGTGATTGTCGTACAACTCAAATGTGTCCAAATATGTCTTCACTTTAATCTCATTGAATGTCCGCTTAATAGATGTGTCGGTTATATCGTCGCCACAAATCACTTCAATCTCATCAACAGTTAGGGTTGCCAACTGGTCAAGGTTTGCCTTGATTTGCAAGGTGAGAGGGTTTTGGTCAAGGTGAAAGGCGAGGGTCTCACCTTGACATAGACAGGTAATTGAGGTATTACTCACACACAGCGATGCTATACGTTAACCACAATTGGGGTATTACTCACACACAGCGATGCTATACATTAACCACAATTGGGGTATTACTCACTCACAGCTATGCTATACGTAAACCACAATTCGGGTATTGCTCAACGAATAGATTAGCATTGACAATAGATTTATATAACAATAGACTTGTCATAGAGTGAGCATATTATCCATTGAATTAGCATTAGTTCCATAGATTTAACATCACCCATAGACTTAGCGTCACTCATGTTAATCCTATGTCATAGACTTAGAATTGTCCATAGACTTAACATTGCCCATAGATCTAGCATTACCCATGTTAACCCTATGTAATAGATTTAGCATTACTCATAGTCAAGTATTGCCATAGACTTAAGCTGCAATCCCATGTTAAATTTATTTGGGTTAGTTGTGATCTATATTCCCAAATCACTAAACATTAGTAAAAGTTTATATGTGTATAGCATTTAATTTAAGATAGTATTTAACCCGAATTCAGCATTAAATAAATTAGCAATTAAAGGCTAGCTCGACTAGATAGCCCTCTTCGTGTTCAGCCACCACCAAATGGGACTTAACATGGGATACCAACTTATATTAATGACTATACTTTAACATAGGGAAGCTTTCATAAGAAAACATGGAAAACATTTATGCTACGGAAAAATAATTTCACTTGGGTTTCTATGCAATTAATACTTAAGTCTATGATATAAATTTTATGTTTAACATGGGGAATGTTTTTGTATTACAAGTATATAAATATTAGAATTTTATAAATTTCATTAAAAATTAAGATTACAGGTGTGTAACAAAATGTTAATCTCACTAGGTACTATTTGTGTCTTTAATGTCGCCACGGTTTTTACAAAAACGATTAATGCCTTCCGATGTTTCCGCGAGTTTAATGCCTGATCCAACAAGCTCGTACTCATTGGTCTGTCTTTCCATACGTTCTAATGTATCTTCACAACAACAAATGCCTAAAATATTTTTATTTAATTAAGTTATGGTTTTAGATATTTAGATATAAGTATTATAAACTATACACTCATATTTCATATACATACAGACCGATTAAATAGTTGATTATAAACAAGGTGACAACCATAATTCAGGGATTATTTATGGTATTTTAAATATAATTGCATAGTATGCCAATGTTTTATAATCAATTTTAATTCAATTTAAAAACCTTCCCGTAGTATCAATGTAGGAATAATTTCAATATTTTGATTGATTTTGTTGTTTATGTTTTATTAGTTAAATTTAAATTATTTCAAATGGTATATCTGATACTTTTATTCATAGCCACGCAGGGCGGGTAAAACTGGGTAAACGAGGGTAAACTGTAATGTATTGTCTATGATGTTTATAATCAACTATTTAATCGGTCTGTATGTATATGAAATATGAGTGTATAGTTTATAATACTTATATCTAAATATCTAAAACCATAACTTAATTAAATAAAAATATTTTAGGCATTTGTTGTTTATGTTTTATTAGTTAAATTTAAATTATTTCAAATGGTATATCTGATACTTTTATTCATAGCCACGCAGGGCGGGTAAAACTGGGTAAACGAGGGTAAACTGTAATGTATTGTCTATGTGAGCATAGATTAAAAGCTTAACTTTGGCGTGCTCCTGCTTTTATTACCTAATTTTTAAAACCCTCACACAACTCTCTCTCTCTCTCACTCTCTCTCTCTCTCTCTCTCTAATTCTGTATAAATGTTTGAACGACTGTGTTTACTGTTAAGATAATTATTTTTATTATTATCACAATGTAGTTGAATTCAATTTTACACATTTTACTCTCTCTCCGTAAATTAAGATTTCACTACTCACCTAAAACAGCAATAATTATAATCACAAATTTCATTTTATTTTTATGTTGTATTATTTGTAAAACTAAAAAATTAATAATTATGAAATTATGCAGTTAAATAAAATCTGTTCATAAAATCAAATATGGTATTTAATCATATTAAATTCAATATCCAGTATCTATATTTTATCTACACTACATCTCATTTTTAAATAACATGACGTTTCTTATTATTACATCAAAACTATTTGAAGTAGATTTTTAAACTTTTCACTATAGTATAATTTAGTTATCCCGTTATTAATTGCGTTTAGATATTCTTAAAAATAATAGTCAAAAATCGGGTTTTAAGGTGATTTAAAAAACGTCCCGAAAAAACTTTTTAGTCAATTAATTATGGATATATGTTGGATATTTTAGTTGAACATATGGCTACACTAAGTATCCCCGGGATACTAGATTGAACACCAATAAACTAAACGCACACTGCGTTTGATGTCAACACATATTCGGTAAATTCCTCTTAATATCTCCGCCAAAGTCTTGATTAAACGTTTAGTATCGGCCCTAAACTCGACGGACGACAACCCGTGTGCCCTCAAGAGATCAATTGCCCTCATATGCCGTCCCGATGTCCAGAGCTTTACGAATAGCTTCTGCAATAGTGAGTCCTTTCGGGAGTGAGTAAAATGTGTAAAATTGAATTCAACTACATTGTGATAATAATAAAAATAATTATCTTAACAGTAAACACAGTCGTTCAAACATTTATACAGAATTGCACAATTGTACTATGACGAAAAATTGACAAATAACTATGCACATTCTACATGTAGTTTCAATTTCAATGTCGAATTTAAACCTTGGGTCTGGTTATAATTCTGTTAAGTCAGATCATGAATGGGCTAGTAGATAATTGCACTTGTTGTTTCGAGTGTTATCTTAATGGAACTGTATGTAATATTGTATTTTAATATTCAAAAATTATACTAATTTTTGTTTTTAATTTTATTAATAATTAAACAAATTACTGCCTTATAGTTTGTGTAGGAAATGACGTGAACTGTGTCTGTGGTCTGAAATGGGTTTACGTGAACAGCACTCTAAGGCCTAAGACTTATGCCATGAGTATTAGTGCTATTAAATACAAAGCACTTGAAATTAGTCTTGGTAAAGTGAATCACGTTCACCGTGATTCATGCTCACTCACGCTCACGGGCCGTGATCGTGAGTGAACGTGAAAAATTTTACAGACACCGTGAGTGAGCGTGATTCACGATTGGAATTTTCCGTGAGTGTAATTCACGCCACTCACGATTTATTTACTAAGAAACCAGATAATAATGAAATATGTTAAATAATTTTATAAAACTTTAGGCTTTTGTTTATAAATATATTAATATTGTTTAATTGTATTATATTTGTTTATTATTAACATTTATAAACAATTTATCGTACGACAATTTACATTTTGGGTATAGTTAAAACCGTGAGTGGCGTGAGTGAATGTGAAAAATCGTGATCGTGAGTGAACGTGAAAAGTTTTACAGACACCGTGAGTGAGTGTGATTCACGATTGAAATTGTTCCCGTGAGTGTGAGTGAGCGTGAATAATATTTTTGTAGCCGTGAGTGAGCGTGAATGAAAATTTTCACTTTTACCATCACTACTTGAAATCCATGTATGGAATGCCCGTACCCTTTGTGTTGAGTATATATTTCTTTTCACTTGTTTTCACATTCACTGAAAATCATTACAAAAAAGTATTTCATAAAGCATTTGAATTATCGGTGAAAGACATCGTTTAATATCTCTTTTCATATTTTATCTCATATTCAGTGAACACTCGCTATAATAATGCCAGTGATTAGTAAACGATGTCTTTGGCTTCACTTCTCTATAGTGTACAGCATTTAATTGAATATCCATTGAATTAAAATAAATTAAAATTAATCAAATAAATAGCAAATAGTGAAGACATATTTACAAAATTGTGAAATGGACCATGTTTATTTTATAGGCATACACTGTATCAAACAAGAGTAATATCAATATTATATCAATTTCTATACAATTTTTGTATATTGTACACAATAAAAACTTATATCGATAAAAGTTTTCTATTATTATTCAGTTCAATTCTGTAGACTTGTATTGTTAGTATCGGCGATAAAAACACAATGAATATGAATCGAGTGCTAAAATATGCATTGCTTTTGCATATTATGATAAGTGGTAGGATTGCCAGTTATGATAAGGTGGTCACTCTGCCCTCCACAACACCCAATCCCTGTCACGTCGACAATACCTGCAACTGTACTGTTGATAGTGTTGCCAACTCTTATCGACCTCCGCCTTGAAAAATCCAAAATTTTTCTAAATTCACCTTGACGAAACCTTGACCACTATTATTATTGCATATTTGATTACAAATATTTTTGAAATATGAGCAAAATGTAAATTTAGATTTTAATTTAATTTAGTTTTATTATAATACAGTGTATTTTCCATATAAGATACGGGCTTTTTGAAGACAANATTTGATTACAAATATTTTTGAAATATGAGCAAAATGTAAATTTAGATTTTAATTTAATTTAGTTTTATTATAATACAGTGTATTTTCCATATAAGATACGGGCTTTTTGAAGACAAAAGTCTTTCTTATAAAGGGGGTTTAATAAAGGATTTGTTTTGCTATCATACAAATAGACAATAAATATTATTCTGGGTTTTAAATAGTTTGTTCATTACAATAAATACCTAAAATAGACATACGGTAATTAGATTTGCTCTCACCTTGACCTGTCTATGTCAAGGTGAGACCCTCGCCTTTCACCTTGACCAAAACCCTCTCACCTTGCAAATCAAGGCAAACCTTGACCAGTTGGCAACCCTAACTACGACCAGTGGTCAGTCGATAGTCATGTCAATATAATAACGGAAAACGTTAATGAATTGAATGAAATACTAACTAAACTTAATTCTAATGATAATTCATTTTTTTGTGACTTTTTTATTCGTAAATTAAATGAAAAAGTTTCCTTTGATATTAATACAAGTAACAAATTACTGAATCCGCACAATAACAATGAGGTAATCAATAAGTTAATTTAAGTTAAACAATATAAAAGTTACTTGTTGAAAAGTTGTAAATAATTATTTTAAAAAAATTAATTATTGTTAATTGGTCATGATAATAAATTGTATTGAATTTATTTAGTCAGAGCACCGGTGGGCGATCAGCGACCGGTACGATTTGTTGGACTTTTTGCACAGTCAGGAGAGTGTATGCGGTGCCGCACCCCGTGTGCCGGCGCGCGACCAGAAGCGCAACATTATGCTCGATGTCTACCGTTTTATTGCTCGACGGATGGCCGGTAGTCGCCACCAGACTGTCACATCCAGTGATCCACTAGTGCCCGATCATTGCACAGGTATACTTTACCGTATAGAATTATAACAAAATTTTATTAATATGCACA